CGGGTACTGTTGCTGGGGTGCCGGGAATGCCGTGGGTTGGTGCCAAGCCCCGGCCCTGGCGAGGCTCAACAACCTAGGACCGGGAAAGCAAGGATGAAGTCATTGTCATCAAACAGCAGTTGGATTGGAGTGGACGGGGAGGAGCAGGGTGGGGTGTGAGATCCATGAGCTCTTCACCTTGTGGGCTCAGCCACCTTGTGCCTCTGTGCCCAAGGCCTCACCTCGTTGGCACAGAATGGCTGCTGGATTCCAGCCATCCGGTCTTTGTCATTCCAAGCAGCAGGGAGGAGGAGTGTTTTATACACAGCAAGTGGGCACATCTTATGGGGAACAGCTTGAAGAACACTCCGTCACCCGGGAAAGTTCCTTTGGCTGAGGGGTGGAGGGGGGGACGCTTTGTAAAAAGATTTTGAAGATCTCCCCAGGTAAAGGTCACGACGGGACCTCCCAGGCGCGGTGGGACGTTTGCTACCTGGATGGCGCGTGGCGGCTGGGTGGCCGCGGTCATCGCATCCACGCTCGGGGACGCCGCCTTGCGCGCCCCGAGGGCGTCAGCGCTGACGCAGACCCGGTGCCGCTGCCCCTCCGGCGCGCGGGAGCGGCGCGGCGCGAACGGCTAAGGGGCGAGATGAAGTCCGGGGCTTGTGGGGACAGGAGCCGCGGTTGGCTTCCGCGTGCGCCCGGGAAGACGGGCCGGCCCAAACCCCACCTATCATCGGGGCGCCCGCTGGGCCCTTTCCAACAGGCCAGGGTGGACGCCTTGCTGGGGACTTCCTGCCCGCTTACCGCGGCAGCTGGCGGCTCGGTGCTGCGGCAAGGTGTCCGGGAGTCGGCGCCCCGAGCCGCGCGCGGCCAGCTGCTCCGCAGGGCAAAGGTGGGGTGCCTGGGGGGCGCTGATTGCGTGCGGGCGGGCGGGGGGTGTCAGGGGCGGTGGCGGTCGGTGGGGAGCCCTACCCCCGCCGGCTCTGACCAGCCGGCCGGGGTTGGGGCCACTTCAAATATTAATTCTCAGCCGGGCGCGGGTGGCTTTGCGCTTGTCACCTCGGCAGAGGCGGGAGGATCACCTCGAGGTCAGGAGTTCGAAACCAGCCTGAGCAAGAGCGAGACCCCGCTTACTATAAATTAGAAGAGAAATTAATTGGCTTAACTGAAAATATATATACAAAGAAAAAAATGAGCGGGCGTGGTGGCCATGCTGTAGTCCAGACTACTCGGGGAGGCTGAGCAGGAGGATCGCTTTGAAGCCAGAGTGGAGGTTGGCTGTTGAGCGAGGGTGACGCCACGGCACTCACTCCGCCTGGGCACAGAGTGAGAACTGTCTCAAAAAAAAAAAAAAAAAAAGAAAAAAAAAAGAAAAGAAAAGAAATCGGGACCACAAGGGTGGCGGTCCGGGGCTGGGAGGCTGGAACGAGCGGGTGTCGGCGGCGCCCGTTGGCTGGGACGGTGACCCGCGCCCGGCCCTCCGCTTGCAGAAGCTGCCGCGAGTCCGCGAGCACCGAGGGCCCCTGAGCCAGCTGCGCGGCCGCCCGCCCCGGTGGCAGCCGGTCTTCTGCGTCCTGCGCGGCGACGGGCGCCTGGAGTGGTTCGGTCGCCAGGAGTGGGGGCCCGAAGCTCGGCCCGCCCCGCCCCCGCCCCGCCCCCGCACCCCTCCCCCGGTGGATTTTGGGGTCCGGCTCGCAGACGCGCCGCGCCTCGCACTCGCGGGGGCGAATCCAGAGCCCTTGTGTGCGTGGCCCGGCGCGGCGGCTTGTCCCTGCTGTGCTGGGCGGGGCTTGAGAGACCAGGGGCGGATCCTCAGGCAACGCCCCGGACCCGCTGGGCACATCCTGGAGGAGTGGGGGGCTGGGCGCTGTGGCCCCGGGGAGGGAGGGGAGAGAGGAAGGCAGGGGGAGACAGAGGGGTGATGGCGGGAGGGGCGAAGAAAGGGCAGGAGGAGGCCACGCCTGTCATCCCAGCACTCTGGGAGGCCCAGGCGGGAGGATCGCTTGAGGTCAGGAGTTCGAAACAAGCCTGACAATTGAGCGAGACCCGTTCTACTAAAATAGAAAGAAACTATTTGGCAACTTAAAATATATAGAAAAATGAGCCGGCTTGGGTGGGATGCCTGTAGTCCCAGCTACTCGGGAGGCTGAGGCAGGAGGATCGCCTTGACCCAGGAGTCGGAGGTTGCTGTGAGCTAAGGCTGACGCCACGGCACTCACCGTAGGGGGCCCTGGGCAAACGAGCGAGACTCTTGTCTCAAAAAAAAAAAAAAAAAAAGAAAGAAAAGAAAACAAGAAAGGGCGGGGAGGGGAAGGAGGGCAGCAATCCAGATTCCTCCCTGGACCCCAGGGCGGCACAAGGAAGCCCGCAGTGTAGACCTGTGCGGGTCGGTGTTTCCGGTGTCTTCCGCAGGACTTCGAGCGGGGGGCTGTCCGCTGGGCTCCGCGGTCTGACGGCTACAGGCTGCTGACCTTCCCAGCCAGACTACCTCGTGCTCCTGGCGCCCTCGCCCGGCTGCCCCGGTGAGACCCGCGTCCCTGAGAGCAGGTTCGCCCGGTGGCTTGGGCGCCGGCCACCGGGTGGCCAGTAGCGGGCCCCCACCCAGGGGTGACAGCCAACGGTGCTGAGCAGCACCCCTCGCGCCGGAGAGAAAAGCCGCTGTCACCCGCGAGAGGGAGGTTGGGCGAGAGGCCAGAAAGCAAAATGGCAGAGCGAAAAAATCATAAAACCCGTGTTCAAGTGCATGCGGGAGGAGATGGGCACCGACAGGAGCGAGCGACAGATGGCCCCAGGGTCCCTGCAGAGCTTGTCCTGTCTCCCTCCCCTCCTCCCCTCCCACCCCTCCCTTTTCTCTCCCCCTCTCTCTCTCACCATAATGCATAATGTGGAGCAAAACTTCCCGGCGGCGGGCGGGAGCCTGGCAAGTGCGTAGCCCGGGGCCTGCACCACTCACCAGCCTGCCCAGCCGTGCTGAGGCCTGTCACTAATTGCTCTGGTCACGGGCAAGGACATGTCACCCGTTGAGACAAAGGGCTGGGCCAGAACTGGCCGTCTCCTTCACCATGGGACTCCCTGCCCCAGTGGTGCAGAAACAGATTGGTTTTTTTTTTTTTTGAGACAGAGTCTCGCTCTGGTGTTGCCGGGCTAAGTGAGTGCCGTGGCGTCAGCCCTCGCTCACAGCAACCTCAGACTCCTGGGCTCAAGCGATCCTCCTGCCCTCAGCCTCCCGAGTAGCTGGGACTACAGGCAGCGCCACCCATGCCCGGCTCATTTTTATATATATTTTTTAGTTGGCCAATTAATTTTCTTCCTGTTTTTAGTAGAGAGGGTCTCGCTCTTGCTCAGGCTTGCCTCGAACTCCTGACCTCGAGCGATCCTCCCCCTCAGCCTCCCAGAGTGAGGCTGGTGACAGGCGTGAGCCCGCGCCCGGTCCTAAGCCCTTCCTTATTAGGCAGGAACACCAGGGCCGGGGCGGCTGAAAACGGGGCCCAGTCATAGAACTAGAAAGCGTTGGGTCACGTTGGAACCCAGGCCCGGCATGGCCGAGTCCAGAGCCCCAGCCCAACCTGCACACGCCGTCCGCCCGTGGTCCGCCGTGGTGGCTGCTCAGAAGCGCTGTGCTGGGCAGGCCGCTGAGGCTGGGACACGGTGCCGGGATGGATTGGTGATGTCTGCCCGGGGCACACAGGGAGGAAGGTAGCCCTGCCCCCGCCAGGACCGCGCTTGGGCCTGTTGCAGGCGGCCTGGGCACGTTTCGCGGACATCCTCTTGCAGAGCGGATGAACGTGCGCGCCCTCCCGTCTGCTTTCAGAGGGCCGCGCTGGGGAAGATCCCGACGCCCTCCTGGAAGTGCCCGTGCGCTGCCCCCTGTTCCTGGAGCACCCCTTCCGGAGGCACCTCTGCTTCTCGGCCCCCACCAGGGAGGCACAGCGTGCCTGGAGGCTGGCCCTGCAGGGCGGCATCCGGCTTCGGGGCACAGGTGGGTGCCGGGAGGTGTTAGGCAGTGGCGGAGCCCGCCCGGGGCGGCTGTGGGAGCGCTCCAGGCCTCAGTTTCCTCATCCACAAAATGGGCTGTTGGGGCAGGCAGAGGGGACACCAGGCAGTTTTGAGTGACAAGGGCTGTCACAGGGGGGCCCTGCAGGAGTTCATGGGGGGCGGTTGGGGGGGTCCGAATGGGCTTCCCAGAGGAGGGGGGCTGGGTTCTGAAAAAGGTGAGGGGCCCGCCAGGTGAAGAAGGGGAACGGGACTGACACATACAGTTGGGCAGGTTGTTGGCTGCACAAATATACCCAACAGGAGGGGCGGCTCGGGGCTGCAGTAGGGCCTGAGCGGCTGGTCCCCGGGCTGTGGTCGCCAGCAGAGGGTTCCTGGTCCTAAGTCCCTAAGTCACACACAGGTGGCTCATGGGCCGCCGGTGCTCCCGGGGCAGCGCGCGCCCAGCGGAGCGCACCGCTTGCGCGCAGCTCCGGGGGTGGGCGGGACTCGGGTGTCGGGGCCTGGGGAGGCCGGGGGCTTCCTCACTGCGCCGGCGGCGGGGCTGGGGGCGCTGAGCAGCCGCGCCCCTCAGTCCTGCAGCGAAGCCAGGCCCCCGCCGCCCGGGCCTTCCTGGACACCGTCCGCCTCCACCGGCAGCAGCAAGGCCACTTCGGCGACGACGACGTGACCCTGGGCTCGGACGCCGAGGTGAGTGCCGCGCCAGGCTGCCCCGGGCGGGACCCCGGCGGCCGGCGCGGAGCCAATGCCCGGTTCCCGCAGGTGCTGGCCGCGGTGCTGATGCGGGAGCTGCTGCCGGCGCTGCGGGCCCGGACCCCGCCCAGCCTGCCGGGCGCCGGCCGCGCGCGCGCCTGGGCCTGGACCGAGGTACCCGGCGTGCGGGCGGGGCCGGGGCGGACGGGGCCGCGGCGGTCGCCTAACCCTCGCGGTCTCCGCGTCTCCTCCCTGTCCGCGCCCCGCGCTCCCGCCCCGCGGCCCGGCCGGTCCGCGCAGCTGCTGGACGCCGTCCACGCGGCCGTGCTGGCCAGGGTCTCCGCGCGGCTGCGCGCCTTCCAGCCCGAGAAGGACGAGCTGCTCGCGGCGCTGGAGAGGACGATCCGCGCGGACCTCGACCACACGCTGCAGCTGCGAGCTCGCGCGGCGGGCGGCTGCGGGGTGAGCCGGGGGCGGGGCTGGAGCCGGGGCGGGGCTTGGAGCGGGGCGGGGCGTGCCCGGGACGAGTGGCGTGTCTAAATGGCACGTGGCGTGTTCTAAACGAAACTGGGGCGTTGTCTAAATGAGACGTGGCTGTCTACGAAACGTGGGCGTGTCTAAACGAAACGTGGGCGTGTCTAAATGAGACGTGGGCGTGTCTAAATGGAACGCTGGCATGTCTAAATGGCACATGGGCGTGTCTGAATGGAGCGTGGGCGTGTCTAAATGGAGCGTGGGCGTGTCTAAACGGAACGTGGGCGTGTCTAAATGGAGCATGGGCGTGTCTAAATGGAGCATGGGCGTGTCTAAATTGAACGTGGGCGTGTCTGAATGGAGCGTGGGCGTGTCTAAATGGAGCGTGGGCGTGTCTAAATGGAGCAGGCGTGCTAAATTGAACGTGGGCGGTCTGAATGGAGCGTGGCGTGTCTAAATGGAGCGTGGGGTGTCTAAATGGGATGAGGCGTGTCTAAATGGAACACGGGGTGTCTAAATGGCACGGGGCGTGTTCTGGGAGGACAAGCCTGGACAGGGAAGCCCAGGCCAAGGCTTTAGGAATGGGAAGAAACCGGGCGAGAGTGGGATGGACTGGAGTCGGTCCAGAGGACCTTGGGGGCTGTTGCTTGGGGGAAAAGACGGGCTGAGGCGTGGCTGGGCGGGGTCTAAAGTGCGCCTGAGCCATCGGTACTGTGTGCTGTGCCGGAGCAATGTCCGTTGGGTTGGTGCGCCAGACCCGCGCCAGTGCAGGA